TGTCTTTTACTTCACTTTTTTTTTTTAATGGGTGGACAGCTCATTAGAGCTGCACTGTAGCCGCTCTAATTAGAGCTCTACAGCATGACTGTTAGACTGAAACCCCTTAAGATTTCTATTTAATACAAATATTCTCTCACATTTTAAAAATTACATTTATTCTTTTGTTAGATTAAAATGACATATTTACCCTTTAACCTTTATATATATAAAATAATAAAATAATATAGATATTTTGTTCATGTCATTTTAAGGAAAATAACAATAATTTTCTTTGGTTTAACTCACACAAAAAATTGAGTTTTTTTATTTTTATTTTTGGTTTTTTTTTATTTTTACTATTTTTTAATATTTTAAGTAATTTTTTTTAGATATACCTTACCTAAATATATTTAAAAAGTAAAATATTTATAAAAAAATATTTTAAAAAATCAATAAATACACAAGAATACAAAAAATATACTGAATTTTTATTTTTTTATATTTTTTATATTTAGTGAGTTTTTTAAAGATTTTTTCACAAATATTATACTTTTTAAGTGTATTTATGTTAGGTGTATCTAAATTTTTTTTTAAAAAATGCTTAGAATATTAAAAAAAATCAATATCAACTTTCTATTAGTTGTCGTTACATGAATTAATAGAAAACACACATCTAACGCAACTATTGTTACATGGGTTAATGGAAAATGATGGATCAAACTTACACAGGCGATTCTGGGATGAAATGTAAATTCAGACATCTTAGTTTCAATTTTAACTAGTGTCTCTTGAATTTAATCAATATCTGTGGTTTACAAATGATTGCAGGTGTTAGGGTATACTCTACAGAAGTACGTTCAATGTGATCTTGTCTTAGCAAGGTTTCTAATAAGAATTCAACACCGTTTTTGCAATTTTTTTAAGGAAAATTTATATATAGGTCTTAACAAGTAAATTTATTATTTGATAAATCTTGTGATAATTGATGGTATTTTTATCAAACACTATTAAAAATATCACTAATTGTTAATTTTCACAATTTAAAAATTGTTATAAAAATATTATTAATTATAAGTTTTAGCGACAGTTTAAAAAAATTATCACAAAAAAACATCACTAATTTTCAATTTTTAATAACAGTTTGAAAAATTCATCACAAAAAAAGTTACTAGTTATAAGTTTATGACAATTTATAAAAATTGTAATAAAAAAAAGTCACCAATCGTCAAATTTTAGTGACATATACAAAAAATCGTCACAAAAAATTGATTTTAACGATAATTTTATTAGAACTTATTTTAGCATAACTTTATGGGAATTAAGTCCAACTATTAATACTTATTAATAATTTACTCTTTTTTTTAAAATATTAAAATCAACATTTCGTCGGCAGAATGCTCATATTTTTGTATGTAATAAAAAATACACATAGCTTTCCATGGTTGACATTTTACTTTTTCTAACTGGGAATTTTAATCCAAGTGGCTCAAAGTGTGTTATTCTCATTGGCTTGTTTCACCTTTTTTTTCTTTTTCTTTTTTATTTATTTTATTTTATTTTTTGATTATCATAAAATAGAAGTTAAAGAAAAAAAATCTCACAACTTCCAAATGATGATCTTTTTATTTGATTCAAGCTATTTCTATCGCCAATATTATTAACAAAAATTGCACTAAACACTATATATATATATATATATAAATAGCTCAATAAGGTATACTAAACAGAACTCCCACGTAACGAAGAATCCTCTATCTTTAAATATATATATTTATGTTTCAACGCATTTTTAATTATTAATTAGGTGAGAATTTCGAAACATGTATAATCTCTACAATATATAATAGTTTTAGAATATTGAAATACCAATTTTGGTTATCAGGTGAATCGTTACAAAAAAGTTGTCACGACAAATCAAAAAATGACCTTTAGCGATAAAATTTTGAGACATCACTAATAAATATACTTTTAAGAACAAAACAATTTCGTGTAAACAAAATTTTTTTTTTAGACAAAAAATTTAGTCCCTAAAAGAATAATTTATTCATTACTAAAAAAGTTTAATTTCATCACTAAAAAGACAGCAATGACACTTTTGACAACTAAAATATTTTGTTCTTAAAAAAATAATTTCATTCCAAATTTTTTGTCTCTACAATTTTAATTTATTGTTGTAAATTCAACAATTAGAAGTATATTGAATCGGGAGAAAGAAAGAGATTAGGAAAAAAAATCGAATACTTGTCCCACAAGGTTAAATTAGTGGTAAGTGGGACAACTCTAGGGGCCTAAGGACAATTCGAAGGGTAAGATGGGCCATGAAAAATGTGTACTTATGGGTAATTAAAGTCAAATATGATGGGGAGCTGTGGTAGGGACTAGGATTCCAAAAGGCTCGCCGGCAAAACTTTTCCCTTACTTTGGCAAAGGTCCCTTTTGTACAAATGTTGACAAGCATTTCAGTTTTGCAATATCACATGATTTAAGAGATGAATTGGAAAACCAAAAACAAAAAAAGGTTGAAAATTTCCCATGATTTTATTGGTTAATTATCTAATGTGAAGCATCATTGTAGGAGAAAATAATGCAAGTAGATAATTAATATGTTAATTTCAAAGTTTGGCTTGAAAATTCTTTAGAAAAAGAGGGTTGGGGGAAAATAAAAGATTAAATACACTTTGTTCCCTATACTTTTATTACAAATCTCATATTGATTCGTGATTTTTTAGTTATAATGTTAACACTCTATACTTACAATTAGTTCCAATGTCAACTTTCTATTAGTTGTCGTTACATGAATTAATAGAAAACACACATCTAACGCAACTATTGTTACATGGGTTAATGGAAAATGATGGATCAAACTTACACAGGCGATTCTGGGATGAAATGTAAATTCAGACATCTTAGTTTCAATTTTAACTAGTGTCTCTTGAATTTAATCAATATCTGTGGTTTACAAATGATTGCAGGTGTTAGGGTATACTCTACAGAAGTACGTTCAATGTGATCTTGTCTTAGCAAGGTTTCCCATTTTCAAAAAAGTAACAAAAAAAAAAAAAAAAAAGGAAAAAATGATGAATCAATGTGGGATAATACAGAGATGCTGTGTGTATTTAAAGGGCACATCAGAACATATAGTGAAGCCAAAGGAGAAACAGAGAGGGTAGTTAGTCCATGCCCATAACAATAAGCTAATTAGGCAATGGATAGATTATAAATAAATAAAAAAAGCAACAAATTACTCTGGTTTATGTCTCCAAGCATTTCTTATATGGCATAACCATGTTATTTTCACATAAAAATATTTCGAATCCTCAATTCATTTAATAATTACTCCAAAATTAACATTGTATACCATGACAACAATCAATGTTTCATTCTATCATCTCCTATGGTTCATTTACTTGAATAGCACATAATTATGACAATGCACGCCTAATCAAACAACATTAAAAATGTCTGAATGGAGAAAATAAATTCATAATGAATTAATATCATCCCATTTTATGTACAAAAGTAACTTTAAATAATTTATCCAAATTTGTCTTTACTCTAGTTTTAGTAATGGGTACTCAATCCAAAAGAGGACAACTACATAATTGTTGTTCTTCTGCATTTATATGGGTACCCTAGTTTACTTCCTTTCATTATTGTGGATTTTAGCCTTGCAATTGAATGCAGACAGCATACAATTTCTAATGAACAAAATTTTTAAAAATATATATATACATATAAAATTTTGAATAATAAAAAATTTGAAATCAATCATGAATAGTGGACCGTTATTCTTTACATTTTTTTAATCTTATTTGATTCTTTCTTAGAAGATGATTGAATGATTTGGAGAGTTGGTAGAGCTTGAGTATTTTTATTTTTTATTTTTTAAGAGAAGGAAGCTGCCCCTTATTTTACAAGGATTTCAATACTATATTGTCCTTCTATCCAATTGCAAACCTTATCAATGTGATCATGGGTTTGGAGGATTACTCATAAACAACAAAACTCCATTTTTAATTGAAAATTATCTTGCAAACTCGCACAAAAGCCTAACAAGAAACCAATTAGAGCTAATTCAGTTTACCAGAACTCTTGTATACGTTATTAGAAAGTCAAAGGCTCAAGTCTTATCACAGTCTCGTAAACAAAGGTTCCCCTTCCCATATTACGTCTTTCTCCCATATATTCAAAATAAAAAAAATTCTCTCAAAAATGTGTATCATAGAGTCAATGGAGGATTTGGAATATTATATAGTGTCATCAAAAGGAACAACAGAATGTATTAACTGTCTTGAATAGAAAAAAAAAAAAAAGTGTATTAACTGTCTGAGGCTTTGTGTTATCAATAATTTATTAGGGTTTACCAAGTATACAAGTCTTAACTAATCATGGGTAGTTCTCATCTGCAGGAACATTTTACCTTTTTCAAATCTTGTGGCTGATTTTGTATTTGGAATCTTGGAATGAACAATTGGTCCAAATGGGAATTTACTTAAAACCCCTATGCAAAGTCTCTCAAGTGAGTCCATATACGACTTGTGTGATGCACCTCAAATTTTACTGATTTTGAACTCCTAAAAATGTTGTCTTTCACACAAAAAAATTTCAGTATCCCCACCAAATAAAAATCTGTCATCTTGCCCCACCACTGCTGTCAAATTCATTAATTCTCAAAACCTTTTGATGAGACATAGAAAGTCAGATTATTGGAGAAAATAAGCCTTACATACATTTAAATACGTGTGTGTGTGTGTGTGTGTGTTTTAAAATAAGAAGGATATGTATTAGAAAAGTACTCAAAATTTTGAAATTTAGTGATTAGATTCATTCTGTGTGACCCTCACAATAAGAAATTACGAATTCTAGATAGTGTTTTTTTCTAGGTACATAACATTTTTTTTTTCCTAATTTTAAAAAGCGACAATCTTGAATCACCTCTGGAATGTGACCTTTCTCTTTGAGGTTCCTCCTATTAATTTGATTCCCTACCAGGCTGCCATTTCATTTTCTGAACCTCTCTCTCTCATCTCCCCCCCCCCCCCCCAATATCCACTTGAAGAAGCTCCTCTTCTTTTGCTGACAATCACATAACCTTGCTATCTTTGTGTAGCTTTTGCAGCATTGCAGTCATAGAATTTGAACTCCACATGGGGAGGCACTCTTGCTGTTACAAGCAGAAACTAAGGAAAGGCCTGTGGTCTCCTGAGGAAGATGAGAAGCTTGTAAGGCACATAACCAAGTTTGGACATGGTTGTTGGAGCTCTGTCCCTAAACTTGCAGGTACATACCCTAATTAAATTGTTTTCAGTGGTTTTGGTACTCTTTTCAAATGCAATCAAAAGGGTATTCAAAACTTGATAAACTTGCAGGTTTGCAAAGGTGTGGGAAGAGTTGTAGGCTGAGGTGGATAAACTACTTGAGGCCTGATTTGAAAAGAGGGACATTTTCACAGCAAGAAGAGAATCTGATAATTGAACTTCATGCAGTTCTAGGCAACAGGTATGTATATAGTTTGTTGACATCTTGTTTTTTTTTTTTTCCTTTGTAAAACATGTTTTTGTTTTCAAATTGTGAAATGGGTTTTTTTTTTGTTTTTTTGCTTCGCTAGATGGTCTCAGATTGCAGCTCAATTACCCGGGAGGACCGATAATGAGATAAAGAATCTGTGGAACTCGTCTTTAAAGAAGAAGCTTAGGCAGAGAGGCATTGACCCAAACACTCACAAGCCCCTTTCTGAGATTGAGAATGAAGAGAAAGTATCAGCAACAATCAAGAACAATGAGAGAGCCTCCGGTGGATCATCATCCCATGACCAATTGACTGAGAAGCCAAAGGTTTCAGTGGCTGCAGATAGCTATTCTCTGATTGAAAACTCACCACCGCCACCACCACCGCCACTGCCACCACCGCCAACCCATGAATTCTTCCAAGAAAGGTTTGTTTCATCCCACGAGAGCTCCACCGCCACCGGTTGCAAGCCTCCTGATTTTCCGGGTTATTTCTCTTTCCAGCAATTGAATTACAGGCCTGATATGGGACTTTCTGCCAATCCAAACACAACCCTTTTCCTCAATCCGAATTCGAGGTGTTCTGAGATGATTTCTGAGTTCAATTCCACTGTTTTCACTTCCATGTCAAGCCCAATTCTTACCACCACAACACAAATCAAGCCTTCCATTAGTCTTCCTTCTTCATTGGGGACTTTTGACATCAATGGAATCCACAATTGGAACAGTGGCACATACAGTAATAATGGGAGTAGCAGCAATGGAAGCAGCAATAGCATTGAAAGTTCCTTCTTTGACAACAACAACAACAACTTTTCCTGGGTACCAACAGCAGATTGCGTAAAATCAGAGAAAGAAACTGAAATTCAACCGATTGATGGCGACCCAGAAGAGATCAAATGGTCTGAGTACCTCCAAACACCATTTTTACTAGCAACAACAATCCAAAACCAAGCTGCTCAAGATATTTATAATGAGACTAAATCAGAATCACAGTTTGTGATGACGCACGCGCCGAGTAGTACTAATTGGCATCAGAATCAGCAGCAACAACAAGAAGCTTCACAAGCCACAGACTTGTACAATAAGCATTTCCAGAGGCTTGCAGCAAGCTATGGGCAATTTTCTTAGGTTGTGTTTGGCAATTTGGGAATTTTCCAAAAAGGGAAGATTTTTACATTGTCTTTTGAGCAAGGTGTGTGTGCTATATAAAACCTTTCTTTGTTGTTTTGTAAATAGGTCTGATACAAAGTTCTCCAAGCTTTCTGATACCCAATCTATTTGTGATAGAAACAAGGTTAAATTGTGCTCTCTCATCTCTTTTGTCTATGGAACATGGAAGAATCATCACAGAATAAAAGGTCTTGTTTCAATGTGTTTTTTCATCTTCTATATATGCTTTTTTTATTTTTTTTATTTTCAGTACTGTTTTTTTGGTTCACAGCTTGTAATTTTTCATGAGTAAAATTTCAAAGAAAAAGTTGTATTGCTTTTTGGGTTTTAACCATTATGACCACCTTTACCCTTCTTCACCTTTTCGACTTGAAAAATTCTCGGAGATAGATGTGGACCATTTATAAAAGGTAGTTTCAGCGCACAAGACTCCTGTCATGTCATTGCAAAGTCTAAAAATATTTTCTTTTTCAATAAGAGATTATCTTCGTAATTAAAACTATCGACGGTCAAGTCAAAGCAATTTTACTGTTGTGTCAAGGCTCGCGCGCTCGGATGGTGACTATCCATAGGATATTCAAATATGTGTTTGGATTTAAAGAATTTTTTTTCATCACACTTTTAACACTACTACTACCAATCACTTTCATTATCAATTCATTTTCAAAATGTAAAATACATATAAAAGCCTTTGAGTACTTTTTCTCATGTATGTATGCAAGATTCCAGGTACTATTTTTCTTAAATGGAGGTCTATCACTGTCTCTTAGATGGAGATGGATTTCACTTTTGACGGTCCTTTGAATCACTTCTCTCTCTCTCTCTCTCTCTCTCTCTCTCTCTCTCTCTCTCTCTCTCTCTCTCTCTCTCCTTTCGAAAACTAACTGATTTTGAAGACAATATAGATGCAGTTGTCTCACTTTAATTTTACATCACTCTAAAAGCATGTGTTCTATGGGATCTCTTGAGAGGATGATATACTTTTCCACTTGGAAAAAAGGAGGCAAAACCCCACAACAAATATTAAGCTAGATTTAGACTGTTAATCAACATGAAAGCAAATGGTTTTCAATCTCCTAAAAGTAATTAAACATATATTAATTATCTTTCCTACATTTTTCTTAATTTACTAAACATTATCTAAACCGAAAATAAGCATAAAAAACTTATTCCACTGCCCACTAATCAAAATATTATATTTAAATACTTTTTATATTTTGATTCTTTAGACATTAAAAGATTAATGACCAATACTATACATTTTGTAATAAATGTCTAAGAGGAAGGTGTTTATAGAAGCAACATTCACCCTCTTTCTGCATTTATTCTCGATATGAGATTCTAAGTTTCTTAAATTCTCTTATCAATCCCTCATTTACAAACAATAGTATGTGGTCGGTTTTAATTCCTCAAACAATAAAACCAAAGGGTTTGGTTCAGTACTAAATTTTCACTCAAATCCCAACCAATTAAACCCCTAATATGAGCCACAAATTAATTTTTTGCCTGATCTAAACAGCACCGACGAAGCAAGAAATTCCAAACAAATTCAAGGAGGATTGGGACATCTAAAAATTGGTAGGCGAATTAGGATTGGCCACAATTTCCATTGCATTTATCAAGTGTAAAAACTGAGACATGTGTTACCCTTCTGAAGCTCAACTTTTTCCACTTCAGGGGAGGAGCAAAGGGGTCCCCCTCTTGAGTCTGAGGGACATATCTCCTGATGCTGATACCTCATGAGAGAGAGAGAGAGAGAGAGAGAAGAAGAAGAAGAAGAAGAAGAAGAACAGATAAGAAATGTGACTGATTGGAAAATGAGAGAAAAGGGTAGCCTTATTTGGTGAATATATTATTATTATTATTATTATGAAGAAGCATCTTTCTATTAAAACAGCTGTTCAAAATTTGGTTGCTTTTGTGCTTTCTTTTTCCCGAGTAATATCAAATGTCATATCTCCTTCAAAGCAGTTTACAATACTGTACAGTATAGTATGCTTGATGAAATTGGGAAAAATGGGCATGTATTAATTCAACATAGCTATACAGTCCCTCTCACACTCATTGTTCTGACTGAAAATTATGGACAATAAATAACAAGTACAAAAGAATTTACATGATTCAATTATAAATCTAAGTTCATAATCAAAAAATTATAAATCTTGAGAATACAATGAGTCATCTTCTATGAAGCACGCGTGCCGGTACGGACACGGGTACGAGTTTGATACTGGTACACTGATATGCTAAAAGCTAAAAAAATGTAAAGTATGGGTATAGATAGGGTACATCAAATTAAAGATGGCAATGAGAGTTAATGAGGTGGATATTAATTCTTCATCTCCAGTCTCCTATAATTATTTTTTCTCATTCCCCATGGGTACTACCCTCCCTATCTCCTAATGGGTTTGGATATTCCCCAACCCAACTTGACCCCCCTCTTTTTTATTTTTTTTTATTTTTTATTTTTAAGATTTACAACCAAAACTAAATATACATTCAATCTTTTTTTTTTAATTTTTTATTGTTTTAAGGTTCACAACTTTTTTTTTTCTTTTTTTGGGGGTAAGATTTACAACCAAAACTAAATATATACTCAATTTATTTATTTATTTATTTATTTTTAAGGTTCACAACCTTTTTTTTTTTTTGGATAAGATTCACAACCAAACCTAAATATACATTCAATCTTATTTGGCTCAACAACAAAATCAAATACACATTAATTAACATTGTCACATTATTCTTGTCAAATTTTATGTATATGTAGAATTTTTAAAATTTATTTTGAAAAATTCAATCTTAACCAAAGCTAAATATACATTCAATCTTATTTTATTTTATTTGGCTCAACAACAAAATCAAATACACATTAATTAACATTGTCACATTATTCTTGTCAAATTTTATGTATATGTAGAATTTTTAAAATTTATTTCGAAAAATTCAATCTTAACCAAAGCTAAATATACATTCAATTTTTATTTATTTATTTTTTTTATTTATTTAAGATTCACAACAAAGCTAAATATACATTCAATCTTATTTTATTTTATTTGGCTCAACAACAAAATCAAATACATATTAATTAACATTGTCACATTATTATTGTCAAATTTTATGTATATCTAGAATTTTTTTAATTTATTTAGAAAAATTTTATTCCTACAAAAAAAAATTCCATCTCTTTTTTAATTTTTTTTTTAATTTTATGTATCTCTTTCTCCTCTCTATTAATTGATCTTCGATAATCTGAAGGTGAGTTATTGCTCTCGTTTCCATCTTCTTCTTCTTCTTTTTTTTTAAAAAAAAATTTTATTTGCATTTATAGAATGAATTTTCTTATTTCAATATCTCCTGTAATTTTTTTATTGGATTTCTTTCTGATTTGATGGTAACCTTAGATTGAATTTTTCAATTTTCATCTTAACTATAGTGATCACCTTAATTGAAATTTTGTACAATTTTGTCTTCAATTTTCATGTTTTGGTTACGATTAATTGCGCGTTTTTGATCGGCAGTCACAATCTTGTCATCGCTAGATTGTCGTCATCGCAAATCGACGTTGTTGTAGTGAGAGGATGAGAGAGAATGAGAATTAGAACTCTAATTGTCAATAGAGTAGGGATGGCAATGGATAACTTACCATGCGGGTATCCATGGAGACCCAATCCAAATACTTGGGTTTCCTCTTTTTTCTTGTTCGTCGGGTAGGGTAAGTAATATTATTTAAATCTCAACCGGGGATGTGTACCCACTAATTTTCCCATATTTTTTTTTAGGTACATCGGAAAATAATTTCTCCATATGTTTTCACTACTCTGTTGACAATTAGAGTTCTAATTCTCATCATCTCACTACAGCAATGACGATTTGCGATGACGACAACCTAGCGGTAAAAAGATTGTGACTATCGATCAAAAACGCGCAATTAATCATAATCAAAACATGAAAATTGAACACAAAAATGTATAAAATTTTAATTAAGGTGATCACTAGTTAAGATGAAAATTGGGAATTCAATCTAAGGTTACCATCAAATCAGAGAGAAATCCAATAAAACAATTGTAGGAGATATTAAAACAAGAAAATTCATTTTATAAATGCAAATAAAAATTTTAAAAAAAGAAGAAGAAGAAGAAGAAGAAGAAGAAGAAGATGATGAAGATGAAGATGGAAACGAGAGCAATAACTCACCTTCAGATTATCGAAGATCAATTAATAGAGAGGAGAAGGAGATACATAAAATTAAAAAAAAAATATTTAAAAAAGAAGATGGAATTTTTTGGAATTTTTTTGTAGGAATAAAATTTTTCTAAATAAATTTAAAAAATTCTAGATATGCATAAAATTTGACAAGAATAATTTGACAATGTTAATTAATGTGTATTTGATTTTGTTGTTGAGCTAAATAAAGTAAAATAAGATTGAATGTATATTTAGTTTTGGTTGTGAATCTAAAAAAAAAATGGTTGTGAACCTTAAAAAAAACAAAATTTAAAAAAAAAAACAAAAGAAAAAAGATTGAACGTATATTTAGTTTTAGTTGTGAATCTTAAAAATTAAAAAAAAATGGTTGAGAATTTTAAAAAAAAAAAAAAAATTGGTTATGAACCTGAAAAATAAATAAATAAATAAAAGAAAAAAGATTGAATATATATTTAGCTTTGGTTATAAATCTTAAAAAATAAATAAATAAATAAAAATATATGAGAAAATTAGTGAGTACCCATTCCCGACCCATTCTATGTGGATATTTAAAGAATATCGCTTATCCTACCCAATGGATAAGAAAAAAAAAAGGAAAAACTCATGTATTTGGGTTGGGTCTCCATGGATACCCACAGGGTAGGTTATCCATTGTCATCCCTACATCAAATATTTATTTATTTATTTTTTAAATTTATAGTTAAACATCATATCTACAAATAAAAGTTCAAAACAATAGTTATAAAGAGAAATTATAAAACCCAAAATAAATCAATATTTAACAATACAAATATAATACTATACAACAATAAGTGGAAGAGGGCAAAGTTATTCTCTAACCGTGTAAATAATTGATGGTTCCAAATTACATAAATTTTTTGAAGATGATTAAGGAGAAATAAAGCCATAGACTTACATCAAATTCCAACTTCTGAAGAAAAAAAAAAAAACCACTGCTGTGGAGTACCTACGGAGTACCCACTCTGCACCCATTACGTACCCACCAAGTA